GGACAGCATCCTAGAACAGACAAGATGGCATTGAGGAGCCCATAAAAACAAGCCATAGAAAGGCACCTGGAAAATCTTCTGTAATAAATTCTTATCTTATTGCCCCCAAATTGCTATGTTCTACTTCTTCACTCCCAGCAAAATTCCATATGATAACTAATGCACACGCCTTGATTGTCTACACTTGTATGCTGGGGTGGAGAAATGAAGAAGGAGACAACAGAAACAGACTGACAGAGGAGATATAAATACAGCAAGAGACCAGAAATACGTGAATTCAGAGTAGGCTTAAAACATAGGTTAGGGGAGTATCAAACCCAGGTATAAAATAAATTAAGAATGCATTTGTCACTTGATATGCTTGTTGGGTCAAAGGACAGGGAGCCTTTAGCCTGGAATCTTTTTAGGCATTAAGTACGGCTCCTGGGAGATGAGAGAAGGTGGGGAATTGAGAGATGGGGAAGGGGCTGCTCTTCTCTTTCACCCAGAAACAGTGCTGGCAAACAGCAGCTGTCCCCAGAAGGGACTGCCATGGCCTATGAACATCATATCTGCAGCCCACTCACACATCCACCCCCGTGCTGTTGTTGATGAGACATTTACAAATTTGGTGAGAGAAAAATGTGGTCGTTTATATCCCTGTGTTGTAAAGTTTGACATTAGCAGAGCTATTGGAACCCATGAATCACAGGAGGAGGGAAAAATTCAAATGGATATAAATGTCCATTAATAGTGGAAAGTTAAATAAATTATACTTCATTCATATCATGGAAAAAATATGAACCATTACAAAAATGAGATAGACTTCTGCAGAGTGCCATGAAAAGATCGCCAAGAAATACTAAGTTAAAATAAGAAAAGCAAATTGCAGAACAATTCATACAGTATGATTCCATTTATTTATGATAGAAAAATATCTATACATGTAAACATACAGATAAAAGATCTATGCCAAACAATACCAGCGATTATCACTACCAGTAGCAGCACCATGCTCCCCTAGCTCTGGTATGGGGCTCTCTGGCCTGCTTACCTTTCCCAGCTGGAATACTCTCCTTGCCATCACTTTCCACCTTGCTGCCCCATGCTATTTTCATGCACATGCATGTCATTTGAAAACATGTAGAATCCCGAGATGATGCTATGGCCACAGTCCCGTGACACAGTGCAACACAGTCAGGGTAGGCGTGTGTATGCAGCAGTAACAAATGACCCCAATTCCCAGTGTCTCACTCAGAACAACGAAAGCCCATTTCTTGATCATGTTTCATGTTGCTGGTAGGTCAGAGGTAGCTCTGCTGCCAGTGGGCTCCTGGCCTGGGACCTAGGATTAATCTCTGGAGTAGTGTCTGTCTCTCTGGAATGCTGTTGGTCTCACGTCCAAGGCCAGGTGGGATCAGAACAAACCATACAGTGGTTCATAATGTTTCACAGTGGCTTTTTCTTTTGGGGTGCTAAGGACTGAACCCAGAAACTTCACACAAGTTATATCCCCAGGACTTTTTATTTTTGTTTTTCTGAGGCAAGGTCTTATTAACTTGCTAAATTGTCTTTTTTCTGGGCTTGAACTTGCAATTCTCCTGCCTCAACTTCTTAGTGTGCTGGCATCACAAAGCATGTGCCACCATGCCTGGTTTGACAGTGGCTCTTAAAGCTTCTCCCTGGAAGGAAAGAGGTCCATGTTACTTCTGTTCATGTCACTGACTAAAACAGGTCCCATGATCAACCCTGAGGTCAAAGGGTCAGAAAAGTATAATAAGGAAGTTATGATGTAGGAGAGAAGCAGCTAAGGTCTCTTCACAGTCTTTCATGCATGGGCCAGAAAGACTTGAGCCCCAGCAAATTCTGGAGTTTCTACTCTGTGCTAGGTGCTAAACCATGTGGGAGGAATATGAACACAGGTGATGATTAATTTTGATCTCAACTTGATTGACTTGAGAGACACCTAGGAGATTAGTAAAGCACAATTCTGGGCATCACCTTCAGCACCATATTTGGCCCCTTGCCCCTTACTCTTGAACTCTTCCTCCTGCTCTCTGCTTCCTGGATGCCATGAACTGAGCAGCTTTCCTCCTCCATACCCTTCCTCTACGCTTTTTGTGCATTAGCGTCAGCCAGCCTCGGACTGAAAGCATGAGCCCAAATAAGCCTTTTCTCCTTTAAGTTATGTATGTCAGGCATTTTGTCCCAGTGACAGAAAGGTAACCAAAATGACTCATAATAATGGAAATGAATCTGTTTAGGGCTTACTGCACCAGATATTATGCTAAGGGCATCACAAGCACCTACACATTGAATACCTATATCAGTAGCATCATGAAAGGTGAGTAAACTGGGTTTAGAGAGGTAATTAACTTGCTCAAGTTTACACAACGCCTTGTCCTGCAGGAGTTGATAGTAAGGCTTGACTTCATATATAAAGATTGTATCAGATATTATGCTATTCAGGAAGTGATTAATTTCTCAGTAACCCACTATATTAAAAAACAGAGCTGAGTACATAGGGGCTCTAAGACCATAGGGCAGTGTTTAAGGACTGGACCAAGCCCTGAGTTCTTCCTATCCTCGCTATTACTTCCACAACCCAGGAAATTTGAGTCACTCTTTCCAGTTTCTGGATCTACATTTAGACTGTGGGATGCGGATTCTAAAGGGCATACTGAGCATCTCTGTGACACATGCTGTTCCAGATACCAGGGCATCAGCGATGTGTGAACATCCTCTATCCTGATTTTTTAGTGGGGGAGGAAGGATAGGAAACCAATGGATCAAAATGCAACATAGTGTTCACAGAAGAAGCTGAGGGAGGAAAGTGAATGATGAGATGCTAATTTAGACAGAGTAGTCAGCAAAGGCCTTCCTAATGATGGGTACTTGGGTAGAGTCTCTAATAAAGTGTGGGAGTGAAGGGATCATGTGAAGTTCTAAGGGAGCATGTTTCTATGGAGGAAAAGCAAATACAGTTCAGAACCTCTGAGGCTACACAGTTCAATGTGTTTGGGGAACAAAGAGAATGGCAAGAGATATAGCAGAAAGCAAGGCAGGACCAGGTCATGGGAGCCCCATAGGACATGGAAAGTGTTTTTGAATCTGTGGAGGTATGAGGGTTAAATAAGATAATCCACAAGTAGATGCTTGGCCCAGTGCCAGCTGCATAAGAGAGCTTCAACAGATTTCAGCAATTCCTCCTTAAATCAGTCACAAATATTTATGGAGGATCTACTATGTGCTAGGCACTACCCATGGTGCTGGAGAATACTGAGCATGTTGTTATGGTTTATGTCTGTGTGTCCCCCCAAAGCCTCCTGCAGCCCTGGGGCAGGCTACTAGAGTTTGAATATGGGTGTGAGAGCTGCACCCACCTGGGAGTGGATAGTTTGCATACGTAAGGGACAAGAAAAGAGTGCTTGGGGCATTCCTCCCCCATTCCGCCCTGGTGTGTGTGTGGTGGCAGCTTTGCTGTGCTGCCATCCTGAGATGCAGCCCTCTGCCATGTGCCACTCTGCCTTATGATCTCCCAAGTAAGGATTGAAACTTCCATGAACTGTAAGCGAAATAAACCTTCCTTCCTTAATTTTGGGCATCAGGTATTTTGTCCCAGCAGCGAGAAAAAAGTAACCAAGACACATGTGTAACATACAAAGCTCCCTGCCCTCATGAGGTTCAATTTGAGTAATAGATACAGACTCTCTGTGTACAGGTTCAGCATTCCTAATCTGAAAATCTAAAATTTGAAATGCTCTAAAAATCTGGAATTATTTGAGCAGTGACACAAGCCACAAATGGAGAACTCAACAACATAAATTTGTGCTTCATGCACAAAATTCTGAAAGATATGACATAAAATGAGCTTCAGGCTATGCTTCAAGTTTAACTGTGGGTCCCACTCAAAACTATCTCATTATGCATCTATAAATATTCTAAAATTGGAGGAAAATCCGAAATCTGAAACACTTCTGGTCCCAAGCACTTCAGAAAAAGGATATTCAACCTCTATGTGATTAATAAGTACTAATAGCACACACAAGAAAGTAGTAAATGCTATGGATAACAGATAGGAAAGGAATTCAGAAGTGGAACAAGAGAATGTTAGGTTGTGATATTACGTACTTCTAAGTGGAACAATTAGACCTCACTGAGAACAAGGACTTGAAGGAAAAAGGGACTGGGGGAACTAGATTTTGAGGGAAGAGTATTAAAAGCAGAAATAACTGCTAGAGCTTGGAATTAGGATCATTATTGGTGCAGTCAACAAATATCACAACCCTAGGTAGCAGGAGCTGGATAGAGGTGATGAGGTAAGAGAAAAGGTTGGAAGACAGATACATGAGGCTGTGCAGGCTGACTTTGACTTTTCCCAAGAGTTCTGTGAGCACAGGAGGGACATGACCTCAAGTAGGTTCTAAGAAGATGGCACTAATTTCTGTGTTGGGAAGATGATGAGACTGGAAGCAGAGAAAGCCAAGAGAAAGTCATGGCAGTAATCCTGTAGACATAATGGAGGGTAAGACCCAGTTGACAGTGGTGGAGGTGATGGGGAGGAGAAGAATCCTAGGTCTATTTTAGGGAGATTATTCTCCCTCTCCAGCCCTCCGTCCTAGGTTCTGAGTTATTTCTGCCATAAACAATCCAGGTGAAGAGGGGGCCAGTATCAGAATCCTATTTTTGGGCTTCAGACATTTCATGTGTTCCTACTCACTGATTTCTTAGAGAACACTCTGCTTACCGGTGCCCACTGCTGCCACTTCTGATGGCATGCAAGCAGTTCCATTAGGCTCCGATTGGCCACCCAAAGCTGGGCATGAGAGACACAGGAGGGCAATGTCCACAGCAGCAGGAGACCTGCAACCTGTGACAGGAGAAGACTCTCTTCTGTTACTCCTCCCTTCATAAAACTCCTCAAAGTCCTCAGAGATATCTTTCCCCTCAAAACAATAGTGGGTCTTTATTTTATTAAAAGAATTAATATATTCTTGTTTTCATGTGTTCAGTCATTGATTCACCTTGCAAGTACTTCCTGAAGGTCAGGCCTTCTGGCAAATGATGAAGCTACACAATGAGTACCGCTGCGACAGTCCCCAACCCCGTGGAGCCTGTACTCGTGTAGAAGAAAGAGCCATTGAATGATGAAGTCGAACTGTAAGTCATGCAACACTGTGGGAAAAGGGCAGCGGAGGCTAACAGTGCACACTGTGGAGCTAGACCCTTTCTTGGATGATTGTGAGCACGTTACCTAGGCTCTCTGTGACCCACTCTCCTTCTTTGCAGGAAATGAAGCACGTGAGACTACCCATTTTGTAGATTCATTGACAGTAAATAAGCACACGTATACAAAGCTCTTATGAAAATATCCAGCACATAGGAGACATCATGTGGGTATTAGCTATTACCATAGGCACTTAATTCAGACTATGACAATTCCATGAAGGGAAGACAGAGAGTATGTATAAAGCCAGAGAAAGGTAGGAGGGCAGTCTCTCCATGGAGGTGAAATTAAGGGGCAAGCTGAAAGATGATGAGCAGCAGGATTTACAAGAGTGTAGGGAAAGGGAGTACGGGGAAGTGTTCAAGGCAGAGAAGAGATTATAGGGACAGCTTCCCTGCAAGGAGTGCAGAGATGTACAGAGCCCAGGCAGCCAGCACAGCAGTCTGGTCCCTTCCCGGATCTTCCTCACTAAGAAGCAAGGGACCATGCACTGTCCTGAATTAAACAGTGACGAGTGTGGTGCCCCCAGAAGGTTCTGTCACAGACTTTTGTCAAGTGGTCCTTCCAAAGCCTAAGTTATTCAATTGCCACTTGGCCTGGGTGTCTTTTCCTACTCTGTCTAGGGACAGACATCACAGAGATCTGTACCCAGCCCATGCCCATGATCTGTTATTGACCCTACCTGCAGGGGTCAGGTCCTGTGCCATTTGTGACAGGTGAAGTGACACCCTGTCATACAGGATTAGTCTGTGGGTCACACCATGAACCAGCCAATTCCCCTGAGAATTCAGAGTAGAACTTGATTGTTCTTGCTGGCTCCTTTGGCCGGTACCTGAGAAAACATGAACAAAAGTGATGGCCACATAGGGGTTGTTATGACTTATGTCTAGAAGTCCCCTCAAAGCCTCATGAGGTCATAGGTGAGGCCTTCAGAGGTGGCCAGATAGAGTGTATGATGCTAGAATTAAGTGTGTAATGCTAAAATCAAGAGTGTGTAAGTACTAAATTAGTCCACTGATTGTTTTGGCATAATTCTAGGCATGGATAATGGGAATGCCCACACTTGGTGTGAGGGCTACCAGCCCTAAGGTCATGTAGCCTGGATAGAATATAAGGGACAGAAATAGGGCTACTTGTTAGTTGCTTTCTGCTTGCTTCTTCACCGCTTTGCTGCCTTCTGCCTGACATAAGCTGTTCCTCCTCTGCGATGCCCCTCTGCCATGTACCATCCTGCTTTGGAGGCAGCCAACTATGGACTGAAATTGTTACAAATAATGAGCCGAAATAAACCATTCCTCCTTTAACTTTGTGTGTCAGGTATGGTGTCTCAGCACTGGGAAACATAACTAAGACTGGGTTCATGGAAAACGAAAACCAGAAAGGCTGATTAGCTGAGAAAGAAAGTAGACAAATCTAGGGCAGCAGAGGAGGCAATACAGCTTGAGTTGAGAACAGGAGGATCAAGGACAGAATCAGTTTGGACCCTCTGTCTCATGTCAAATTCTAGACCCTGAGATCCTCAGTGTGTTACCTACCAGTCTATTGTAGATTAGGGGCCCCCAGCCCATTAGGAACTGGGCCATACAGCAGGAAGTGAGCTTAAGGCAAGCAAGTGAAGCTTGGCCTGTATTTACAGTCATTCCCTATGGCTCACATTACTGCTTGAGCTCTGACTCCTGTCCGAGCAGCAGGGCTTTAGATCTCACAGAAGTGTGAACTGTGCTGTGAATGGTGCATGCAAGGGATCTAGACTCTGAGTTCTTTTGAATCGTCCTGAAGACATCCCACACACACACCTTCCACACACCTGTGGGAAAATTGTGCCAAAAAACTGGTGCCAAAAATGTTAGGGACAGCTACTCTAGGGGAGCATCCTTGGGTGCTTCTAAGCAAGTTCACATTGTTTTGAGTTCATTTCTTTGGCTTGCAACATGAGAAGTTTCACCTCCTTGACCATTCCAGGAAATGCTCAGACAAGATCCTTAAACTTGCAGGATCTGAGAGTGGATACACCAAGAGTTCATGAATGATCAGCGGAATCTTCCACTTTCGTGAGCTCTTTCAGTAGAAAATTCTCAGCAGTTCAGAAGTGTGCATTCAAAGAACAAAACCATTCGTCTCAACATGCCAGCCTGTTGTACATAGGTTTATGCACCTAGTGAGAATTTTGGGTAATTTACTCTAGTATTCTTGCATGTCTGGGTGTTCAGAGGAAGTATGACTAAACCATTTGAAGTGGCATAGATTGTTTGGACATCACAAGGGCATCTCTAGTGGTAGTTATGGATTTCCTCTTCTAAAATGTATGCTCTGGACCAGCCTGCTGTACACTAATATCAGCACCTATTGATCAGTATGTGCAAGATGTTTGAGTGCTTCATATAAATTAAATTATATAATTCTCTTAATAATCCAGTGACATAAATGCTATCATTCCCATTTGCAGATGGAAAACTGAGGCACAAAAAGATTAAGACGCTTGCCCAAAGACATGTGCTGGTACATGGCAGAACTATAGTTAAAACTCTTCAGTGAAGCCCAGAGTAAGGGCTTTTAACACCACGTTTGTGCTCAGACTCTAAGATTCCCGATCCTTATAGCTAGAGCTGCAAGTGTTTTTAATATAGTCTCATGTTCCCAAGAGTCACTGTCTTAGTCCTCTGAGATTTTAGAAAGCCTCTTTCCCCATCCTCTCTGCCACCACCGCATTTCTCCCCACCCCAAGCATATGGTAAATGTGACAGGTCTACCAAAAGGCATTACAGGAATGTGAGGTGGTAAAGCTACCAGGGAAAAAATTAACTAAGCAAATAAAAATGATTTTTATTTTGTACCTGATGTATGCCAACCTATTCCCTTTATATTCATAATTTCATTTGACCTTAGCTATCCGTATAAGGAAAATGTAATTATTTTCCTCCTGATAAAACAGGCTTAAGGAGATTATATGACTTAACGAGGGTGGCAGGGATAGAGTCTGTATCCAAACCCACCATAGGAGGCCCTTAAACTCCCTCCAAAGTCTTGACTTTTAATGAGATCCTGGCCCCAGAACTGGAAAGGAAAAGTAATGTAGAACACAGCACAGGTCTTGAAATTCCGATCAGTCTATCTTGGCCTTAGTAGCTCATGAATGAATGTTAAAAATCACAGGCTACAGAAACTGAGGGAGTGAAAACTAACTTGTTTGCATGACATTTCTAGGGACACTGAGTGCAGCAGTGCCATTTTTGAGCTTGTATATTTATCCCCACAAGGACTTTTGAAATATCATTGTCATTCAGTGACATCTTATAGCCCTTGGCACTAATGGTATTCTCATCCATACGGGACAGTGCAGAACAGAAGGGAAATGGCAGGGTTCGTGTGATGCCAAAGCAGACAGGAGTTGGAAGAACAGGAGAGAAAGTCCCCCCAGAAATCACCAGAAACAATGAGGGAGCTGACTTTGTTTCGGGTGGATCACTGCCATTAGAGATAGGATGGAGCCAGAGAAACATGGCACCATGTCCAGGATGATCAATCTAATGTTGTCACTTCATGGTCCATCAAATACAGATTATATATACCCATTAAAAGTGCAGTTTTATTCACCAAAATTCATAAAGCACATTTCATGTATCCAGCACTGCAGAGGACAGCATGGGCCTCTCCACAAAAGGAGAAGCCAGCTGCCCACAGATGACTGAATGAGGATGGCAGTGTTAGCAGAAGCAAAGAGGCAAAGGAATCTAAGATGCCTTCACATGTTCACACATGCTAATGCTCACAAAAGAAACCAAAATATAAGTAGGCAGTGTCCTTCAAGGATGAGGAAACTGAGGCTCAGAGAGATAGATGATATCCTCAAGGTCTCACAGCTAGCAAGTAAATTATGTTAATAGGTTTTCAGATTTCAGATCCCAGATCCATCAGGCTTTTGAGACCAGCATGTAACCACCCTTTTAAATGGCTTCTTGCATTTTTTGGATTGTCAAGTTTTCCAAGCGTAAATGCAAAGTTTCCCTTAGAGAGACTCTATTCTCACTTTACCAATGCTGGTGCTTGCTGGAAGACAGGGCAAAGTCCACTGAGAAGTCAGGAGACACAACTGTTTCTCCAGAAGTGTGTTAAGGACTTGGGCTTTTCTATAGGTTTCTGTGCATGAGTTGGATATGATTTTTATTTTTTCACAGTCGTAAATACTTGATGTACTGCAGCTGACCAGCTTGTTGGCCTCGCTCCACTCTGTATGGCAGGGTCTACATTGTGACCCCCAAGGGCCAGGAGACCTACTTTAGCCTAGAAGAAGCTGTCTCAAGCACAGAACTGCTGGCATGAGGGCTTCACCCTTCTACATAGAGCTAGAGTTGTGATGCTCAGTGAGGAAGGCAAGGAGTCGTCTCTGCCCGCTGAGCACAGTCTCAGGCTTGGGACCCCAAGCAGAGCTGCATTACAGACACCTTGTCCTCTTTGAGGACAAAGACTAGAGATACAGAGAGGGAGATGTCAATGGGAGACTTCCAGACATAATAATTCAAAATGAACTCAGGCTGTTAGAAACTGGAAGGAAATGTTTTTAACCTATGGGATCCCCAAGAAGTAGTGTGGTGTGGTGTGTTGAATAGCGGTCGCCGAAAAAGATATACTCGTGCCCTAATGCCTGAACCCTAGGATTGTAAACTGACTTGGAAACAATCTTCACAGAGGACATTAAATTAGGATCTGGAGATGAGGACGTCCTCCTCAGTTGTCCAGGTGGCTCGGGCTCCAGTGACAAGTGTGCTTATAAACATGAGGTAGAAAGTGAATGACACAGTCAAAAGAAAAGACACAGAAGAAGAAAAATCAACATGACCACAGAGGTAGAGATCGGACTGGCACAGCTGTAAATCAAGGACTGGTAACAGCCACCACAAGCCAGAAGAAGCAAGGAACAGATTCTCACCGAGAA